CCACCACTCCGGTTGAACCCCACCGGTCTGGTTTCATCCCTCTTGTGGAGCGGTTCCCCTCTGCATGACCATCAAGACGACTCTATATTCAAGCTGAATATCAGCACACAAGTCACACATTACCCTGACATAGGCTGGCGATAGGCCGCCACTCCATTGCCCAGTCTATCTTTATCATCCGCCTTACCATACGGTAAAACCACGAGGGTAGATTTGAACGTATAATAAGCCGAAAATGACGCATAGCAGGACACAGACATCTGGCACCTAGATACAGAGACCACAGGTGACCACACTGCCTTGTAACGTCTTCTGGCGGAAGAGCAAGGAAAACTAACTCAATGTATCTCATAAACTGGACACCACGCAGCTATCTTACGAACAGTTGTAAAAGATCTGCAAACGTGACATTCTGGGAAATCATTTCGTATCGCCATGGAAAGGATGTGTTCAACTCTATTCCATTAAACATGGCGGCCAAGTAAACGCAGACAACGGATATTTTCAGTCTCCAACAGCCATCAGCGACGGCGCCTTCAGTACGGCCACATACAACGTCTCTATCATCTGTAAAGAATAGACGATTCCGCTACAGTACTCGATGGTCTTTGGAAGACTGCATTCATACAAGATGAAAAGGTGATCCCGGGCTTCAAGGAATTCTGGAAGGATACGCTGTCGTAAATATCAGCACCTGGTAACCAGGCACCACGATGGTTTCGACCTTAACTGGGATCTTATAAAATCTATAACCATTGCGGGGACAATTACGGCCCTGCCAGAAATGGATGGATCTTCACCCGGGGTAGACCATGTCATAAAGAAGCACAAAAGTCAAATGTATCCTAGAATCATTATGCCTTTATAAAGGTGCTTATTGGCTTATTCCTTTTATCCTAATCACAGGAATAACGTATAACGTTTGTTCCAAAAATTCCAAAACCTCTTCCGCCCTGAATATTTTAGTCCATTTTCCCTTCTTCAGTCTTCATTCGTCTTCTATACCGGATTTAACTCGTTCGCCAGAAGATTGCATTCCCAGCTGACCGTCTCCACTTAAGTTTTCTTTATAAAGTTGGCTGTTTTGAAGCCCCATGATATTACACTCCGCCTTAAGACATTCACACTTGGTTTCCTATTATTCATTGTTTCCCTTGACATTTAATGGCCTCAGATTCCACCTCCCACGATTTGCTGCTTCGTGCAGCCTCCTCTTTCTGTGCCTCTCTTTTCTTCTACACCACCTAAATTCTTATTATACCTTCAGAATCTTAATCATCAATGGTCTGAGGATGCACCCAAAGCATGTTGTCTATCAGGGTGATCCAATTTCCGCCTTGCTCTGCATCATGGCTCTTGAGGATGCATTACACATATCGTCTGACACACAGTGGATTTACCCAGCAGCTCCAATTGATCACATCGCTTAGGCAGATAATGTGGTACTAGTTGCTCTTGACAGAAACTCCCTACGCGTTCGTTTAGATTGATTTAAGGAGGATAGACCGCCTCGATAGTATTGGATATCACCGATGACGGCAAAACAAAATTGCCTATTTCGAAAACTGATTAGCACCCCTGATGCACCCACCAGATACCCTCAATTCAGCCATCCGAGGAATTTCCGCTACTTGGATTGCAATTTTATTGGAAGAGTAAATGCTCGTAAAACACACTAAACCAACACAAAGACAGGTACAAGAAACACTTCAGGAACTACCAGCGCAAGAATACCTTGCGCACCTATCTTTCACCGCGTCACACATTGTCTCTAATTGGCGATAGTCCACCGACAGACAATCAAAACGATGCATAGTCTGGTCCGGGTAAATACAAGAAAATGGTTACGACTCCGCAAGGACACCAGCGTTGCTTTGTTTCACGCATCAATTTAGGATTATGGCCTAGATGTTCAGTGCCATTCTAGTATGACTCCATTGCTTCGGAAAGACCGCCTAGAATGCCATCTTTCATACTACCAACTAATTACCAACTTGGTAATACTGGAAGCTTCAGCAGCTACCATGCAGCGCCACGCCATCGAATGCGTAATCAGTGGGAATCAACTCGCTTATGATAAATGTGACGCGGAGACAGGGAAGAACTCAGTGCTACAATCTGTGGATGGATCCTTGTTTCGGGGGTAATTACGACTTCAGAGTCGCACGAATGGATAAGAAATCTCGATAGAATGTTTTCTCAGAATTTACATCAGATAAACCCAACTCTGAGCAGGGGTGCCGTTGACAAAATCGCAGTGTTCAAGGGTACGACCACGCCAAAACTAACCGATCTTCACAGCCGGCGCGCTTGCGAACAAAACGAAGCAATTTATCACGTCCTGCAGTCTAGTGAAGTAACCCAAGTAGCTCACTGTAAGATGCACAACAATATTGTGAAGCAACTAACCAATATACTAGGTCGCAAAGGAACGCAAATCATCCCGGAGCCCCGCATTCCAGCTGCACCAACGTATATCAAGTCGGATATAATCGTCCTTAAGAACTCCACAGAATTGGACGTTGCAATATGCAGCACCTGCAGAATGACCCGTAGCTACCAACTAAAAATTTCCAAATACGGTGTAGGTGTTCATGCGGAAGCCATAACCCGCTTTGTGTGCTAGGAATATCCTACGGCATAAAATATCTTGCATCACCCTACAATCTTCATCAACCGCTAGCCTCCGCTAAGCAAATGTCGGCACTACGGCTCATTAAACTTGATACATTCGACTTGTGTGTCTACAGTAAGTGAATCCCACAAAATGTAAGAAAATACACGCAGGTGCAAAGTAAGAAAACATATCATACTGACAACGTACACTCACACGTTCGAGAGTGAATCCGACCATTTCCTTGCGCTTTTGTTTTTTTCGGTCTCAAAATGACGCCAGCATAAGTGTGCAATCTCGGTGAATTTTTGTAATGCCCTGGTCTTGCGCCAAGCGTGAATTTGCCGGAAATATAGGTTTATGGACTGGGGTTGGTAAATAACTAACACCCCATCAATTCAATCACTGGGACCGTAACTGAAGTAAATGGCCCGAGTTCGAATATTACTGTCCCTACCTAATGAAAACAGACAAGTTCGAAACCCGTCGCGGAGTGCAGCGTATTTTAGGCGGCCAATATTCAATGTTCAGCTAGTCCAACCAATCTCCCAGTGAGCGAACTGATATAGGTTCACACCAATGCAAATCACGGCCTACATCAGGGTCGCGTGATTAATACCAGTCCAACAAAGAGACGCTATGACCCTTCCAATAAGTCATTAACCGTTTTGATAAACGTTGCCGGCCGTAACTCGGTGGACGTCCTTAAGGCCTCTGGTTAACCTACCAGCTACCTTCACTTGGAGACAGCATATATGCGCGAAATAAGTTATGGACTGCGATTATTTGAGCGTGCAATGTCAAGTTTTCACCCAGGTTATGATTTTTGTTACTCATAAGACGCAGGTTGATGCAATTCGTTTTGTTACCTAGTTTTGGAATTTAGTTTCGTCGCTGTAGTTGTCTCCCGCAGAATGGTCTCCGTACAACTGAGGGCGTATGACAAAATTCACTAAGTTTTCTAATGCAAACAGTGTAACTGATTTCATTCATGGACGTAAAGCATTTTTGTTATGCGATATGCACTTTCCCATATCAAACGGTCAAGTTGGCACTGTGCATAATGAATAGACCCGCGGAAAATTTGTCTCTGTTTGCTGCTGTTTCGTGGAATTTCTGTGTAGTTTTAGGTATAGTTCGTCTCAGTCTCCTCTCAGTCCCACAGGTTCTCATAAGTATGGAAATGTACCAGACCTCATTTTCGACACCGAGTGAGCCGCGCTACATCGGTTTCAACTAACGGCCATGCAGGTCTCGCCGCGTTACCCATGGCTCAGTGGCACAAGTTGCTGACATCCGCAAGTCATGGAGTTGGAACCCGGCAGCGGACCGAGGAACGTGCACTGCTGAAGTGACCCAGAATATCGAAGCAGATGTCTAGTTGCTTGTGTTTGCCGACACACGACAACATGTCAATCCATTAAACGAAGGCAAATGGCGGATTTTTCTAATTTTTTGATTACTATGGAGTATGACTGGGAGATCAAAATGGTGTGCTTAGTTGATTGATATGATACTTTCATGAAGCACTATTCATCGATTGATGTAATTCGTTGATTTAACTAGAACACATCCGAAACCTAAGTTGAAGCTGGTTTCAATTCCAAATCCCCATGGAATATAACATGTAGCAAAGTAAAAATGAGGCAGAATCTTGTGCTCACTTGTATTCGGCTTGGTCAGTTAGCCCTGTTATCAACCTGGCTTGAGTCATTTTGGTAGAAATGTTTGTTGAGAAGAGCTTTCTCTGGGTTGCTTTCTTATTGTGGATCTGTACGAAAAACTTAACAGGATAGTTTCATAAATACGTTATATACTGATGGACATGCACTTAAATGCCAAGCAACCGAACAAGCTGTACAGAGGCTGGTTCTCACGAAACGAACTTGTTTATTCCAAAGGATGTGTTTGATCATTACTAAGACGATACTAGTCAACCTGCAAGTCTATTGTACTAAATTTTGCCCAACGTGAGGATGTAATTCAGCAGGTTGTCTGTCCTGTTCACTGTGAGATGGTAACATGCGTCAGAAAGAGTAGCAGCTCAGTTGTGAGCTGGCCAGTTCTGGCATGATCGCCATTGTGAAGTGGAAAATAATTGCTTCCTTGATAGCATGTGCTCTGGATTCAAGCCGCTCGCTGGGAAACGGCAATTTTGCAATCCACCGCATGCATGTCGGAAATGCAACTCAGTGTTCTCCTGAAGGATAATTGTAAATTCATTAAATAATTTCACCGAGTTATCCGAATCACCAAACATTGACTCTCAGTCGAAGTTTTCACCCACAATAAAACCGAATATGTTGGGATTCAGTTTATATTTTGGAACGAGGCAGCTTTCTTCGAGATTTTAATTCATCATATCCTGCTCACATCTATTTTCGCCAGGTGTCACAACATGAGAAAACGAATCTTATGACGATTCAAAACTTGGCCAGTGTTTTCGCTCCAAATGTCTTGCGGCCGGTGGATTGTGATTTGGACGTTGAAATGGCCGCTTCCCCCATCATATCGCTGACCGTAGCGGAACTTATTCGTTGTCATGCACAGCTTTTTCGATTGCACCTTGCTCCACGTCGTTTCGCGGCTGCTAATGGTTCGGTTGTCTCTACACAACGGCGGCAAAAGTTGGTCCGAAGACGAAGGTCACATCATACAGCTGACACAATACTACTCCCACCTCCGCCTTATCACACTCCACCGCAGCCTATTTTGGGGCACAGGGCACCAGAATCTAATGGTGACATCGAGGATAATTGTAGATCGTGGATTCAGCGACCTGCTCAGCAGAAATTCAGGGCGATCCCAAGGGACTGGCCGCCCGGAGTAGATCCGAATATCCCTCCTGAATTATGTAGGCAAATGGACGTATGGAACGAGAAGACCGGATATTCTGACAATACTGGAAAGCTTCATTTTATAGGAAGTAAGACTTAATGCGTATTTACGCAATTCCCATTGGAATCGGTATAAAGTGGTATAAAGTAACCAGTCTGTTAAATGCTACTAACTATTTTAAGAAAAACCAGCCTAATAAGCGTTTTTAAGTAATTAACACAATCTTGTTTGACGTAAATAGCTCAAATTTATAGTAATCACCTATCCTTCACTACTAAATATACCCAAATGGCTCTCCGCTATTTGTCTTACAAAGTTTAGTTTGTGCTAAGCGTGAAATTATCTGAAACATCAGTTTCGTTAGTGAAACCACTAGGAGCCAACAAAGATCATGGGAACAATGTTATCCACTTTTTCAGTAGACGTCTCAGATTTAGCATGCACATCGTTTAGCCAACTTGTTTCTTAGTTTGAACAAAATATTAACTGGCATAATTCAACAACCAGTATTCCTGTGGAAACCCAATCACTCTGCGGATGTTCACTCACAGAGCAGACAAATGCTGTGGTATCCGCGCCGGTTAGATTAAACATAATCTAACATATGAAACTGGAATTTCCGCTTATAAGTCTAAACAGAAGAAGCTTAATTGGTAAACTGTGAGATGAATTAGTCATTTATTGCAAGCACCTATTTCACGAATCATCCAAGAATCATACATATACAACACGCGGTCGTGTGAGATCAAGAGCTAACCGTTGCACCTCGCGCTGCCACGGTAACTCACACAGATACTTCACACAAGGCAGTGACGGTTCTCAATTGATGACGAAGGCTTCCAATAGTCAGACCATGCGAGACAGTGAAGTGTGTATAAGGAAGGTGAATGACCTATCGGGGCTAATTCGGTGGCTGTTGCTAAGCAACTTGCTTGTGATTTCCAAGGCAGTCTATTTCTCAGTTTAGCCGAACCCGTCGTCACCGACTCCACCCAGTTGAGTATTCACGCAAGTATGGGCTCATTGACCCTAACACCAAAACCTCGGCTAGTTCGCCCGACATTGCTGTCCCCTCAGCTACATAGTATTAGTTAAAGTAATGGGTTATTGATTGCATCGTTATGGGCACATTGATGGAACACATATGTAGAGGTCTTGTTGATGTTACATTGTAAAATCCCCTCCGGTATTTCTTAGGATATCCCACGTGTGCACCTGTGTACCATAGCGTACGAAAACATTTGTGCAATCTTGTCTTTAATCCCATGTCTGACGCCGTTGCCACACAGGTGTTGCATGTACCACCGCCTGATATTTTTAGGGTAGCTTGATGCCACATTGGTATTTTACACAGTACAGGTTACTAACGCACCCATTTCAGCATGCAAAATAATAATTCCTTGCTACATGTGTAGGGTACAAAGAAAAAAGAGCAGGATTAAATAAATAAATGCTTTATTTTCGGCAGTGCGAGGCACACCCGTGATCATGTGATCATGATATACAAACACGTATGATTGATAATTATACAAAACCATTGCAAGTTAACCAGTAACTTACTGAATTTGTGTGTATGTACATAGGTAGGTGTAGGTGTATGTGTGCCCCATGCTGAGGCTGATGTTGCATTCATGATGCTACTTCACCGCAGTTGGGCTAAACCAATTTACACTTAAACTGGGTCTTTTTAATGTGGATAAAATTCATTACATTTTATTTGGTTTGTTCTGCTTACTTGATAATATTCTCCCAACTTGCACACTTCGCTCATGTAAATTGTAGTTAACGTGCGTAATTGTATCGCGGGGTATTTTTTTTAAATAACTCGGACATTTTGTACTTATCACGGATTCACTTATAACCAATTACTTCTATATGCTCATTTAGCGAATATTTTTGTCGTCATATGTGTTTACTTTATTCGATATCGGCATTTTGAGTGATTGGCTGTTGTTTAACATCCTTGGTGTGGCTGCGCTTGATGTGCATGTTGACAAGGTGGCTACCTGTCTATTACCCACTACCTCGTCCGTCTGGCTCCAGGAAACAGTTGGTTGTTGCTGGAGGGGACGGGGTGCACGGTCCTTGTGGTCGTGCTAGACTCAAAGAGTGGTTCCATGCAGTCAGTGTGGAACTGACTACGGTCCAGCCACCGTCTTGTGTGCGTTTGATTTCCCAAATACAGCATGCTTGTGTTTGCCTGTGAAGGAGTGTGGGCCGGCTCCGTTGATGAAACGTGGCTCCCATCCACATGCCTCCCGGTCTTATTCCTTCAGATTTACACTGGACATGGGGTGTGTGGTTGTAGATGTGGGTGGTGCAGCGCAAGCCACCCATGGTCCTTCTGTAGGCACAGGCGTCCTGTGGCTGTTCACAGTGACAGGCAAATCAGAAACCGGATGCCGCCAACCATGTATGTGTAGATGGACATAGTGAGTAAACATGTGAAGTGTGACAGATTTCAGGAGCTTGTTTGCTGTGTTCGTCATTGTATGTCGGGTTCAGAGGAACTCTTCGAACTGGATGACGTTCGTGATATGGTGAAGACCTTCCGAAAGGGGAACAGGCAGTGACCTTATTTAGTGACCAGTCACACCAGCCACGTCACAGTGTTGTTAAGCAGACCTTTGTGGCTAATTTTAAGAAGAACTCTTGCCAGGCAAAATCCCACGACGTACTGAAACACTGCCGCGGAACTATTCACTGGAACGGGATTAACCTGAACCACCCAGCTGACACCACGTGGAGGTTGTTCAGCTAGCTACCTGTTATTAGTTTTGTATATGATTCCACTACCTTTGTATATTAATGCGCAATGAGTACAATACATCCACTGAAATTACCCAGTTTCAGTGAACTTGTAAAAAGAGCAAACCTAAACTGACTTATATTTCTTATTATCCATCATCGAGAGTTCACCGCAACATCTCCATATATCCGTAAAAGCACTAAACGGCCATTTCTCCTTCTCTGTATTCGTTAGCAGTGTGCATCCGTGGCATGGATTCAGTCAGAACGAATAGTCGTTATTAAGTCAGGTATCGAAACTTCGACTTATCACTGCGGTGCCCACTAACATTCTCCCGGAATCTGACGTCAGTTCACCACGTAAACTCATATATCCATTCGAGTAATGAGGAAAATTGCACCAATGTGTCAATAGCGTCTGCTCTTTTGGAAGTAGGGCGAATAAAGATAGCGCTGCCTCTAAACCCAACTGGGAGTGTCGAACATTCGTATCTTTATTCCGCTACCTTTTTGACTTCGGTGCTCGTGTATTAGACATTAGCGAGTAAAACAAAAAATCAGTGTTACGCCAGTGAGGTGCTCCACAGTGAAGACGAAGTAAGCGATGGTTGCAATGTGAGGAATGCATTTTGATCTTTGGTTAGTATGAAAGGCGGTGGAAGATTTCCGCTTATATAACATCGGACTTATTAAAGGTGAAAAGGAATTTTTCCTCTTCCGGCGTGGTTAACGGCTAAACAAAATGTGACATGTTATGCAACACATGCTTTTTCCTTACTTCCCAGAATCATCAACTGACTAAGTATTAATGGACCATCGCTTAAATGTATTCACTTGCTTTTTCTTTACTTTTCAGCTTATGATAATATCATGCCGGAAAATCTTTCTGTACAAACGCCATATCCAGCTGTTTCAACCTTCTATGAAAGAGACTCGAGACTACCCTACGGCCCTAGGGAAATCTTCGAGAATTTACGGCCAACAAATCACGATAACCTTACCTTTTCTTTGGACAAATCCCACTCAGATTCATTGCCGCATCCAAGGATGAACCGCTCAGTTACAGCTCACTCTCATCTCAATGGTATCCAACGTTCCACCCAGCATCAGGATCGGCGGCCGTGCAATGCTCCCGCCGGTTGTGGGGTCGTAACCCAAGCGGATGACAGCGCGCTCTCCTCCTCCTACAGCAGTGATTTCGAGTCTTTACGATTGTGGCACGACAAAACAAGACTATCAAATAGGACAGTGAACTCCCCAATCCGAACATTTACCTTGAACACCCACACAGCACCTCACAACTTTGTCGAATATCCGGCCTACAGCAAAATTTCTACAGTGCCGTTCCTAACCCAAAAGCCTTACTCCGACAGCGATGCATCTCTTGATCGATGTGTCAAGCCCGACCACAAAGCTTCAACCTTAATTCCCGGATGTACTGCAGTCAACCCTATCTCAGCCGAAGATCAGACCCAATACTGGCAAACGTTGGCCATTAGAGCACGTGCTGAGGCAGCAGGGCAACGTGCTAGGGCACACAGTTTGAGCAGGGAACTCAAAAAAGTACAATGTGACCTAAACATGGCTAGGCTAGAAATCCGTTTACTCAGGCAAGGTTTGGCGAATAGTGGAGATTATACGGCTGTGGATTCGTATCAAAACCCAGGCAACCTACGACACCGCGCAAACAATGGAATTTGGCCTTCATAATGGGACAATTTGCAATATAAACAATCTTTTGTACATATCAGCCAGTATCCCGGCACTAGTTATATTTCCTAGAATTAATTATGGTTGTTGATGTACCACCGATCTACCTTAGAATTATCTTTTTTCCCCACTGCTATCGGTGACAATGTATTTTGCCAGAATATATTTCTTTGACTATTGTGCATATTACTTTCAACTTTTGAAAGTAGATAATTAAATTGTTTTTACGGTACAGCTATTTGTTTGTATTCACCTTCAAGTGAGGACAATTCAAGAAAGCTATTTTATGTCTCATGACTGTCAATTTTTCAGGAGTAAGACACGGAGCATCTAACTGACGGAAGCATCAGTGCAGTTGTGAAAAATACAGTGGCTAAGCAAAATGTTTTATGAATAACATAGTTTTACCGGTACAAGTTTCGCTTGATTCTTGAATATCAATGTTCCGGTTAAACGGGAGTCTGATTAGATAAGGGATGATCGACGAACCGTAGGTCCACCTGAGGGCATATAGTGCTCTGTGCTCTTGTTTAGTTTATTAAGTATATTTACAGGTAAGCAGTACTTTGTGTAGCTAGTAGCTTATATTTTGCGTATATTTGAAGCACGTTTTATGAGGAAACTAACGTGGATAAATACAACACTGAATGAATACGCTGACTTGTTATCAGAAGCCAACTGAAAATAAAAGTTAACTTTTCTCCCTTATCATGTATGGCAAAGTTTCAGTTACCTTGTAATCACAATAGTGAACTTAATGCTGACAGATAGGCTGAGTCACATTCTCCATGAATGAGGAAGACGCTTGACTTGCGAGTAGGGTTATTGTCCATCAGCTAAATGCGATTGAACAGTACCTTGAAGCGGTGTATGTTGTATGACCTAAAAGGTTGCTAATGTCGATTCATAAGAAATTGAAATATCTTCAAATACATTTAGTCAGTCGGTTACTCAAAAAAGTTCTTTCAGCAACCCAGCATGAAATTCATAGAAGGTGGACCAAGTATTGAATAAGAAAATACCATTATACCATCGTAAATAGTGAGCGACCCTACATCACTTCCAGTAACTCATTTGCCATGATCGTTGCCGTCCCCCCTAGCTCAGTGGTCTCAACCACGGACTGGTAACAGTCGAGTTGCGGGTTCGAGGCCTACCAGGTTCCGATGGAATGCGCACTGCTGAAGATTCCCGAAAGGATGAAACATGCGTACAGGGTTTTCCCGGGCGTGTAACAGCTGTCTGAATGAGTCCATATGTGACGAATTTCTACCTATATATGGATTTATACTTCTGTCTGGTTGACGTGGTTGACTCGCTTTCAGGCAACTCAAATTGGAGGGAGTGGCTTGTGCCGGCAAGTACTATTGATGCTAGTCACTTGCAAGAAGCAACATGAGTGGATACAAGTATATCACTGAACATCGTCTTCTACACATCGCTGCATCACGACAAGTGTTTAAACGATCTGGAGACTGATATAGATTCATAGCGTATAGCACTTACTTGCATCAGAACTTTCTCTTTGACTTGCGAGTTTGAATGTTTTGGATCTACAGGATTATCATTAACAGGTGGTCTAACGATAGTTAATGCTAGGCACTTACCTAGTGTCGGGTACCAGTTATTATACGTATACGCATTCGCCGTCACCTTCCATTGAATTATTTTAAAATTGTGGTTAGGAACTTTATGGATATAGATGACTGTATACTGATACAGTGGTCCTGGATTGTTTAAGTTTAATGAAGAGGGTAGATGAAGAAATTTGACAGTACCACCTATGGGACAAACAACCGCAGGGCTAGGCTGTTAAACACTAAATTTCAGTGTCATCCTCGTATATTCAAGCATGCATGTTTATATGTGTTGCGGCAAACGAACATAGGACAATCATCCAATTGATCAACAATACAAGCCAACCTGACAGACCAATGCATTAGTCTCATCCTTTAAAACAAGCGAAGCTTTGTACTCCCAACCTCTTGTAAACGTGTCGTAGTTCTGCTTTTTGTGAGTAGATACAGCCAAACAATTAGTAGAGCTGTTCTTTAGCATTTACACAGACTAACGAGTATCCCGTACACGCACTAGTTGTGAACGTGCAAAGAACGTTAATTATAAACTGCACAAGTCTGTACTATTTGTTGTATTTTCAACTACAACGTAAAACCTTTAGTTTCAACTGCACTGATGGTAATGTAATGTAAATGACTCAACTAACTCTAGTTAACCGTGATGAGATGACAAGTACCTCAGGGATATAAATAACATTGTTTTCCACACATAGAACGCGCAATCTAGAAGTTGATCATGATTAAATGAATGAAATGAAATGGACCGGGAAAGCGAACACTGCCTAATAACACGTTCACTACAGTGGTACAGCAGAGGTTATCATCACTCACATCCGCCATAAAGAACCGAGTTTGTCAACCCCAAAACATTGGTAGCGCGATAAATTTTATTGAATCCACGGTCAGTCTGTTTATTGATACAGCTTATATAGGATGTTTGAAGTTTCGGGACTTTCCTGCAACATTCGTGTCTCACACTGTAGGCATTATTGGCAACTACTCCTCCACACGGAAGGACTAAAGTTCACTGCTTTTCTCCATCGTAAAAGTTATGCAATTACCTGGAAACTACATCGTGTCGCTGGCATCAAGAATTGAGCTACAGGATAAAGGTTTAGTTTATCCAAGCATGCGGAAAACGTATTTAAGACTATAACAACAAGTAACGTGTTTACCAGCGACATAGTCTCTTTCTTTCAGCCAATCTATCCACAACAGCTCTTTCCCGATGAGCTGGAATATTGCACTTAAATATTGTTCGCTGCTTGTGAATTTTCGAAAAATCATTCTTCTCCTGCTGTCACCTATATACATGTAGCAAAAGAATAAGTGACACAGCAAGCAAAGTAAACACGAAGCAATAAGTCTTTAACATTTACCTCATATTTATGCACATTGTACGGTCAAGTTATGACGACATAAACAGGATGTTCTGAAAAATGTACCAGGATAGTGGATCTTAGTACCGACGGAATGAAACCTGTGCTTTTGTTATGGAAACAACTAGGAGTGCTTATTTTACCCTCGAAATGCAACACGATGTAACAAATAGATTTGGGTCTTGCAACTGACAGACACTCAGCCACAGGCACAACTCGTCTTGATCGCTCGAGGCCACACTGCTTTCTGCAGTTTGTTATCGTCGGTTTTGTAGAATATAGTGAAATCAGTGGTTCCATTCGCTGCACAACATGGCATATAGTCATGGATGATGCGCTTTTCGGATGCTGACAGCCCACGGTAAAATTCATTGAGAAGGAAACTGTGGTGGTTGTCCATTGGACCGAGAGTATCTGTGAAAGCAAAGAAAATGGGGATAACAAGGTTTACCCCGATCTAAGAAAGAAAGCTTCGGCGACGCTTTTTATCTAGCAAAGGGCAGCTCGGAAGACAAGCATGATGTCTGAAGTTGCATGTGATGTTTTATTCATCTTCTGTTTGACGTTGCCACCAGCAGATCGATGTCATGGTATGTGAGTTCGCACTGTGCGTACAACCTGCAATATCGTAGACGGTTGCACATGAGACTAGTTAAAACCTCTGAGTACGTAGAAGATCAGAAGTGTAGAGTAGGGTAAGCCGATGATCACATGAACACCCAACCGAGAAACAGCTCAGCTGATAGCAATATCGGAGGACAAGTGTATGTATTGCAACGATCTGACACTTGAAAGTAGACACATCAAATTGGCTAAGTATATATTTGGCAACAGTCTACGGATAGACAACAGCCATCAGAGACCATGGAAGGTACAGAAATAGTAAAAGAACACAACACAACACATAAAAGTCCATGGTTTCGTCAGAGGGCGAGATACTACCCGGTTGCCCAAGCCGAAGTAGGAAAAATAATAAATCGCCAGCTGTAAGCCGTAACGGCGCTTCGCTGCCCCGTGACCACCAACAGTCGCGCGTGGGCTGAGTATACCGCGGTGGCGCTAGCCCCTATGCGGCTTCTAATCGGTGACCTTATACATGCAAACCATACGCACATACCACTCAGCCACCGGCCGACATAATGGTTGATGAGTTTGCTGAGCATGGCAGCCGCAAACGAATCCTCACTAGTCGTGCAGCAACTCATCATTCAATTTCGTTTATTAAACTACCCCGTTAGTTGTAATGAACTTTAATTTAACGCAACGGAAGTGTCCACTGGACACAGCTTGCAAAGTATGTTAGAACAGAGTAGCGCGAAAAGCGAGGTGATATTATGGTCGACAAAGGGAAAATAAAAAGTGCGACTTGATTTCCTTGCTTTTATTTAGATGCCAAAACTTATACCTCCTATTCAGGAGGCAAGCATATTCGGTATGTTGCGAGATATGTTAACTTCAGAATAGTTACAAATAACACTTTCGTTGTGCGGCTTCCAAAGATGAGTTTACCGCCAACCTGTCTGTGATGCTACTAGCATCGATACGCTGGCATAAAAAATAAATAAATGAAAATGGAAAATGGCTAACTTATTCCATAAAAGTCGTTCTTTCCATGAACACATCAAGGTGCTTCCACTTATGGAAACGGAATGATATCGCGAAATGAAAACGCTGTTAACAAACAGCTAATAAAACTAACCAACACAAGTCCTAGACACGGAAGTTAGTTCATATTTTTCCTTACGTTGCGAGATACATGTACCCGGTAACCTGGATGGGGGTTTCACACAATTCTTGACACTCAGAAGTGTTTGGATGGCAGTAATTGCATTTATTATCGGTCTCCATTGCGGGTGGATGATTATTGTGTTGACTTTTATCTAGTCACTGGAATATTGCACACCTTACGTGATACGGTGACTACCATTGAAGGTAAACCAATAATAATAATAATAATAATAATAATACTGAGTACAGTCAACAAACAGAAGTATGTGCTGTCTAGTTAAAGAAACTTAACTCTTTCTGGTTGTGACTGACCGGAAGCCCTTTCGCACGTCGGATTTGAAGGGGGATGTCACAGATGCGACAATTTACTACTATTATGCGTCTAGACCCGCAGTCCCCAACCCCCAGACCGCGGACCGGTACCGGTCCGTGGACTACATAGTAAAGGGCCTCTAAAGAAACACTGAAGTACTTCACTTTTTTGCTGTGGTGTGCTACTTTCCATGTACGAGAGGTTAAGCGGGAGCCGAGCGGTTGCGAGCAACAGTGGCATTGTAGCATTGGTGGAGAGAATGCGTGTATCACTCTTCTCTCTGTTCACCGGTACACTTTCATGTTTAACAATGCTTGGTGCATGTGTATCTCATGTAGTATGTTTGTCATTTTTCATCCACATTTAGCCTGTGAGTTTGGCGACGTTTTATTTTCCAGGTTACATCTCGGTCACTTGGGCAATCAAATGTAATCCACAAATTATCAAAAATGAGTACGAAACAGACGTCGTTAGAAAGTTTCGTTCAGTAAAGAGCCAGAAAAAGAGCTTTCAACATCAAAGAAACATAGAAGGTTTACCAGCCGATACCACGAATCCTACTTCAGACATCGATTTATCGTGACAGGTGATTCCCACACACCAATCCCGCTCTGCAAAGTTTGCGGTGACCGACTCTCTAATGAGGCAGTGAAACCCATAAAACTGTTTCGCCAGTTGACACCAAACATCCTACATAAATGGACAAGACCCTGGAATATTCCGAAAGAAATAACGGGAATACGAAAGACAGAAGGAAATTTCCGAGTGACACCACATCGGTAAAACAGAATGTACTGAAAACATCATATTCGGCGGATAACCGTATTGCTAAGGTCAAAATACCATTCACTCTCGGTGAAGAATTGATCTTACTCTCCACTAAAGACATTTTCCGTGAACTTTAGAATAGGCTGCTGTAACACATATGCTTTTGTCAGCTAACACTGTGACTAGGCGAACTGAAGCAACAGCCGAAGACATTGAAACACAAATGTTGCGGAGGATTACTACATCACCGTGGTACGGACTCCAGGTTGACGAAGCAACGGATATGGACAACAAGACAATAATAATTGTTAATATGCAATATCTTTATCAGGAGGATGTGCGTGGGGAATTGTTATGTTCAACATCTTTGCTAACCAACCAAACAAGAGCAGAACTGTTCAAGTCACTCGATGGTTATATATCAGGACAATGGATATGGTTACCTCGTGTCGCCATATGCACAGACGGAGCAGCTGCCATGACCGGACGACTGGCTGATTTAGCTTCTCGGATTAAGGTCGTTGCACCCGAGCGTAAATCTATGCATTGTGTCATTCACAGGAAAATGATGGCAAATCGAAAATTGGCACCGGAATTTAACAGCTTATTGATACATGTCATCGAAATTATTAACCACAGCGAAACACACGCCCTTTACTCACGCCCATTTAAGCAGCTTTGTGAGGAGATGGACTCAGTGCACGGACGTTTTCTCTAGCACCGAAAAATAACGTGGTTATACAGAGGAAAATCGCTATCCTGAGTATTTGAATTACGGAAGCCATTGTAAAGATTTCTGTGAGAAAATAATTCACCGATGACAGCACATCTACCTGAACTTCTCCAAAGCCTTCCACCGCCTGGATCACCAAACCCTACTTCACAGGCCACAGAGCTACGGAATAGAAGATCCAGTGCTTTGTTTAATTGAGAACGGAAGCTTCAAGCACGCGTTAAGGAATCACCCTCTAACCCGATTGAAGTAAAATGTAGTGTCCAACAATGTTCAGTGCTGGAGCTCGCTTATTCCTGGTGTTCCCCAACGACCTGGCAGGAGTTATCTCCTTAAATTTCCTGCTTTTCACCGATGATGGTAAGACATAACGATCGATTAGTAACGATGAAGATCACGATCTACTAACACATAAACTATATTGTATTTATAAATGGTCAAAAAGAAACCTGTTTAAGTTGAACATAGCCAAGCGCAAGGTCATCCATCGACATCATCAGCCAGTAAGCGTTTACAAGCTTGGAAACCACACCTTGCAGTAGGTATGTTAGTAGCGTGACCTGGGTGTACTGGTACAGGAAAATCTCAAGTTTTTAAAACAAAAGGAGAAGGTGACGGGAACCGGCAATCAACACTTCGACCTACTTTTCAGAGCATTTGGTCGGATTGAACCCATCTTCTTTCCCCAAATGCTTAACGCTTAAGTGCGACCGCACGTGGAAGATGCTATCCAGACGTGGCAGCCGTGGCAGAAACAGGATCTAATTGCTCTGCTCAATAAAGAGCGACCAAGAACTCAGTGGCCTCTTTCATGTACCCTATCATTTTAGACTGAAAACTCTAAGGATGTACAACAGTAGATATCAGTTTTGAGGGGGGATCTCATAATGATTTACCAAATGCTGAAGAACCCAAACCACGGTTGCCACCCGATACTGGAACTGAACCACAAAACTAACCTAAGAGGCCATCCTCTGAAACTGAAAATACAGTGTAGCCGGCATGAATGTCGTAGAAATTTCGGTTCCCTCCGTGTGTACCAGCCTTGGAACACCCTCCCTAATTAAGTTGTCTCTGATCTCGATCTGGCGATATTTAAAAAACGAGTTGACGGTGCGCTGTCTCGTTTGCATTCCATTTTATGGTTTTTTAGCTAGGAGCTACAAAGCGCAATCAAAAGATGCCTTACCAAACTCTCAACCAGTGGATTTATGGATTTACACTTTTGATACACCAACATCGCTATTCTACATAAGTCTATGGTGAGTGCACCAAAATGCTTTTCATTTTAGCATGCGGTTTTAGTTTAGGCAATAATTTCCATTCTACGGGACTTGTTAAACACTGCTTTTTACCCGTAATACTGTTGTTCCATTTCGTTGACAAGGTACGTGTCGCAAAACTGGCTTACTTGTGTGACATATTCAGCTTGCTCAATCTACTCTCTGTATCCCTTCATAAGAAAATGACAAAGTATCTGCATTTAAAGCCAAACTGGAGTTGTGGGGACTGCGCGTGTTCAGAGGTGTTTTGGACATGTTTAAAACATTAGCGGAAATTTTAGGCGAGACTGACCCTGCGCATTTATTCTCCCAGCTGGTGAAAGATCACCTGTCCTTGCTTTCGATTGTTACTTCTTAAATATGGAAGAGCCATGAACGGGTAGGGAATAGACCTGCGGCTCTTTTGTTAACAAACCAGGCGAAACCAGCATGTTGGAGCAAGCTGAAGATCAACTGTAACAGATTGCAAATGACAACTGCCAGAAAACTCCCTTCGAGACAAAAACCCTACCGGTGGTCTGGATTAAAGTCAATGCGGATTACACTCAGATTACCATCACAGCACTTAAATCCCTACTGCCATTTCCGG